GTTTATTAATTTAAAACAAAACAACATCAATTCAACAAACAACAAAAAAGCAAATCAAATCAAATGAAAGGTAGCAGAAGAAGAAGTTAATCTTATGATTTCTGCCCCTTTTTCTTAAATAAATTCAATCAAAAAAAATCTTCAAATTACAACGTACAAAAAAAAAAAGAAAAAACAATAAAGGTTTAATTCCTACTTGAGTAAAAATTCATGCCTTATTTCTTACACATATTTCTCAAACAGATTTATCTTTATCATTTTCTTAAATATACACATTGATCTGGCATTTTAAACGTCATCTTCCAGATTATTCCATAATTTAATTCCCTGGACTGAGGTACTCCGTTCCTTCAAACTGGTTCTAATYTTACGTTTGACAAACATTTCAATCCCCTTCATATTGTACCAACGCACTCTTTTAACAAAATGTAAGTAAGTAAAGTTTTATTTATAAAGAGCCTTTCACAGAAATATATTCACAAGGTGCTGTATGATCATTAACAGTATAAAAATGGTGGAAAGAATAAAATGAAACAGAAAAACATAATTAAACATAAGCAATGAAAATTGAAACATTAAATCAGGAATTAATTTCTAAAATTGTAAATCAAACACAAGGTCAATGCAGGTCAAAATATACAATAATACAGAAAAACATAATGAATATGGGAGAGAAAAATATGGCCTAAGTTAAATAATTAAAAACACAGATTGGTGGAGCATTCACAATGGAGGTAGGCCTGCAGTAATGGTGAAATGGTTAGCTAAACGCTTGAGAAAAAGTGAGTTTTTAGGAGTGTCTTGAAAGAGACAATGTTATCAAGGGAGCGCAGATTAAAAGGGAGTTCATTCTTTCCAAATGTAATTGGATGTTTGAAGGTAATTATTTTTATGAGCCCTATWCATAACTGATAAAATACTATAATCAACCAAATCATAGAATTTCAATAACTTCAACTGATGGAACAATGAGTTTGATGGGTGACAGTAATGCTTTCTGGTAATAATTCTTATAGCTCTTTTTTTGTAAAATAAAAACAGGATTTGTTATTGTTTTACATGCTTTTCCCCAAATTTGATGTTGACCAAGATGTGGGAACCCTGTGATTAGAAAAAAAGGGTCTTCATGGCACAAATGTGTTACTTTAAGGGGAAATATCTGAATAAAGGCCGGTTTTATAGTTGAATTATTTTAATGATGATCTGTTAGAAGTTATTTAGACAGAAACAGGAAGTTATTGACGTTACAATGATTTTATTTCCAGGACGACCAGCTGAAGGTCATCGAATGCAACGTCCGAGTTTCCCGCTCCTTCCCCTTTGTATCCAAGACTCTGGGAGTTGACCTGGTTGCTCTGGCCACGCAGGCCATCATGGGAATTGAAGTGGAGACGATCGGTTTCATGAGTGGGAAAGGGATCGTGGGAGTGAAGGTGAGAGGTTCAACCTGAACCAGTCATTTCTGGCTGCGTTCACAGTGATTCAAACGTCACCTGTCCCTCCAGGTTCCACAGTTCTCCTTCTCCCGGCTGGCCGGAGCCGACGTGGTGCTCGGGGTGGAGATGACCAGCACTGGAGAAGTGGCCTGCTTCGGGGAGAACAGATACGAAGCGTACCTGAAGGCCATGCTCTCCACCGGCTTCAAGATCCCCAAGAAGAACATCCTGCTCTCCATCGGCAGCTATAAGGTATGACAAGCGTTGATTTGATTTGATTCAACAGGAAAAGATCACTAAAAATCAAGCCTGACTCAGCCTAATTGCTGTTTTACAGCAGGTTCCTGTTCTGCAGCACATAAAACACTCAGAATTACAGCATCACAATCACATCATTATACACCATAGACACAAAGACAAACAAGCATACCAAATTTCAGGAAGGCAGCATTTGCAAAATAGGACGTTTTGCTTAACTTGATGATTTTATATTAATAGCTACATGCC